AATAAACACTAAAGCACTAATTATAGTGGAATAATGTTATGTCACACCCACTCTTCTACTACATGAAATCTCTATGAATATGCAATCCCAAAACCATCGTTTACTTATTAAAAAAAACAAGGATAATATCATTTATACATTCATACACACTCAAAAGTTTCATATTGTTTCTAAACTTCTACAAACATCCGAGGTCTCAAAAGGAAATCATACTACAAAACTCTGCCCAATAGGTCGTTACCCTGTTTACGTTCTCAAAACTTACAGGATCCACCAGTCTAGTCCGTTGTTAGCCAAATATCCACATGTTTACCTACAATGCATAAACTACATGAGATAGAGCTCAATAAGTGAAAGTCATGCATGCAAGTTAATAGTAACATCAACTATTGTGTATTTTAACATGAAATGCAAATGCACGTGTCTAAACTCATGCTAGAAACTTTATTTCTTGAAAACTTTTATTTTTCTGAGCCATTTGACCTCACTACTAGGGACTGAAATGAGCTCAATATCATTAACAATCATAACATTTCAACCCAGTCAGTCTCACATGCCTGATGCAATGTCTCACAGGACATTGGAATGGCTCAATTTCGTCCGTCTTACATGCCCAAACTAATGTCTCATGAAGCATTGAGCATAACATAATAAGTTAAGCCTGATCCTTACACACCTAAAACAATGTCTCACGAGGGCACTTAACCTTGGTGCATAGCAGCGGTTAAAGTAAATACATTTTCATTAGAATTCAAATATAGTAAGCGAGGGGCAAATGAACGATTTGTGGGATGTCTTTTGGTTGTAATTCTTTTCGTTTTTAATTAATGGCTAACCCTGCTAATTTGCAATCTAATTCACCTTATCAATATTAAAAAAAAATAGGATTTATGACATGATGATTAAAAGTGTTTTTCGAGTTGTGCTGAACTGAGTAGCTCTAGTTCAAGTTCGACTTCGTTTACTAAACGAGCCAAAAACTCGACTTGAGCTCAAATTGTTTAAGCTTGTAAAAATTTGACTCAACTTGTTTAATGAACTTGTAAGCTAATCGTGGGCAAACTCGGCTTAAAAAAAAACAGAGTTGCGAACGTAAACCTTTGATTCGTTACCAACTAATATAAGCAAAATCTTTGAGTGGAGTAGAGTTTTGTTAAGTGCACTCGCTCACAGCGGATCAGTGCCTCCTCTTTGATGAGTCAAATCATGGTAACGGGTTGGACACTGGACTACCCTCCGCTCTCTCTGCTCTTTCCGCGATCACAGTTTCAGCGTCAGATCTCTCTCTCTCTGCAGTCTGCAGATCCACTCGCCTGAGCTCGAATCAGTTGCACGCAGCAACAATGTTGCGCTTGAGCTCCGTATTTATAATACTGCCCCTGGCTGCAGCGCTGCTGCTTCTCTGCGCTCCCCGGAATGAGGCGTCGGTGCATGAGTACGCCGGCGAGAAGTTCGTCGGGAAAGGAAACGCCTTCATTGTTCACGGCGGAAGCGAGGGTATTTACTCTTCCGCACCTGTGCTCAACGAGTCGTCCCCCGGAAACTCATTTATTCGGTGAATTTCGCCACTTTTAATATTTTACTTCTCCGCTCCATTTATCCTACAATCCATTATTTTTCGGAATTTAGTGCATTTCAGTTTTCCCTGATACTGGCGGTGCGTGGTTTTCGATTATGGTGTTCAAATCCAAGGTGTGAAATTGTAGTGCTCTATGGATATCCATTTGACTTGGAAGTAATATATGTTACTCCAAATAATTGGGATCATTCCCTCTTTTTTCTTTTTCTCTATTTTTCTTATTTGGTACTCTTTAGAATTATGATTATCACAAATGTTGAAGCATTTTTTGTTTAGAAGCTTATTCATGAATACTTGCCTAGTTGCTTCCATGGATCCATTTAACGGCTTGATAGATTTCTCACATTTCTGTGTTCCAGCAATGACACGATTACAACCGACATTAATGTCTTATATACTCAGCGAGCTTGAACCTAATTTAGGTTAAACATATAAATTAACAAACAGTTTCTATTGTTACTATAACTGCTGCTAGGGATTGACAATATTCTTCATAGGATTAGCTTCAAAATGATTTTTCCCTTTTTAACAACCGTAATGCTGCAATGATTTGGGATGAAAAATGCTGAACCATTGATGTTTCCACAAAATAAGTTCTTGCATCACTGATAACTTGGACAAACAAAATAATTTGGGTGAAGAAAATAGATACACAGATTTTTTTTTTTTTTCTTTCATAATCTTGATTTACATGCCTTCCCCGGTCAATTTGTCTTGGATTAGTCCCGATTCCTAAGCTTATCATACTTTATTCTGAGAAATATTGCTAATCTTCCTTTCTTGTCAACCAGATTCGAAAAGATCACATTCCGTAGGCCTATGGAGTTCTCTAACTTCAGCTCGGAATCGATTCATGCAGTCGTGTTCGAGGTTGATGACCGAGAATTAATTGGAGGCTCGGCATATGGAGGTCAACGAGCTGTATGCTGCACATCAGATCTCGCGAAACTCGGAGTCTGCAAGCAAGGAGAGGTCATCCACCGCCCATCTCCCAACAATCCAGGATGGCCTCAAATATATGGTGCCTCATTTGAAATTGACGCATTGGAGACCACCCTGCCACCAAGGTCCATACCGATCACTAAAACTGGAATGTACAACCTTTACTTTATTCACTGTGACCCTAAGCTCAAGGAGATTTATGTCGAGGGTAAAACCGTCTGGAAAAACCCAACAGGTTATTTGCCTGGCCGGATGGCTCCCTTCATGAAATTTTACGGGTTCATGTCCCTTGCATTTGTGCTGCTCGGGATATTCTGGTTTTCCCAGTATGCGAGGTTCTGGAAGGAGGTTCTTCCCCTGCAGAACTGTATTACTCTCGTGATTACTTTGGGTATGTTTGAGATGGCTTTTTGGTACTTTGACTATGCTGAGTTCAATGAGACTGGAGTCAGGCCGACAGGGACCACTCTATGGGCAGTCACGTTTGGGACAGTGAAACGTACTGTGTCGCGACTGATTATTTTAATTGTATCTATGGGTTATGGTGTGGTTAGGCCCACGTTGGGTGGTCTTACGTCGAAGGTTGTTTTGCTTGGGGGGACATTCTTTGTCGCGTCTGAAGTTCTTGAGATAATTGAAAATGTCGGTGCAGTCAGTGATCTCTCAGGAAAGGCGAGGCTGTTTTTTGTGCTTCCAGTGGCGATTTTGGATGCTTTTTTCATTCTCTGGATATTTACGTCCCTCTCTTCAACTTTGAACAAGCTTCAGGTAGCCATTTCACTTTCTTTAAATGTTTGTAATGTTACATACATAAGATGAAAGTTTTTTCTACTTTGTATTGTAGTTTATGTAGATTTACTCATCATCAATTTCTGAATGTAGTTAGAAGTTGGAATAGTGAGATGTAAATAGAAATGGGAAAATGAAATATTTTACATGACGAGCATATTATGGGATGTTATTTGACTTGTTGCCTGTTGATCACCACTCTAGAGAAATATTCTTCTTTTTTTTTTTGGCGATTCATAAAGTGTGGGTGATTTGTTAGACTATTATATTCTTTCCTGGTTCATTTTGTGGACCCAATAAATTTTGTTTCTCGTATGCTCAAGTTATAATTACTTCAACTTTTCCATGCCTGTCCAAGATAGTGGTCATTTCATGTTTGTGCATCTGCAGTAGGAGTACTGGGCATTGCCGATTGAAGTTCACTTTTTAGAAACTACCTGCATGAATCATTTGTTTACTTGGTGTAACAGGCTAGGAGAATGATTGCCAAGTTAGATATCTACAGGAAGTTCACAAATGCATTAGTCGTTGCAGTTGTCGTGTCCATTGGCTGGATTTGCTATGAGGTGACGCGACTTATTCTCTGTAATGTCAACATACAGAAATTGGACAAAAATAAAAAACTATGCTTACACTTGACAAAATGGAGTCATAAACAATTTACATCATGTATATGTTACCAGAAACTAAATCATAATGATCTTAAAAAAGATGCAACGAAATCCAATTACATCACATCACATGTATAAGAAAATGATTTACATGTTCAAAAATCTTTTAAATGAATGATATTGTGAATACAGAGTGCTGAAAGCTGTTTGCTATAAAAATTCTCAACATACTTTCTGAATGTATGCACGCTGTCGTTGATGATAAATGAAAGAACTTAAGTGTGTGCTCAGCATGATTCTGGAAGGAATCACCACAAAAATTGATCATCATCTTTTATTCTGTATGTCGCGGTTTTTGTATGGTATGAGTTATGACATTATGACCTTGGGTATTACAGCTATATTTCAAGTCCAATGATGTGTACAATGAGCAATGGCAGAATGCATGGATAATTCCAGCCTTTTGGCAAGTCGTGTCGTTTTCTCTCTTGTGCGTCATTTGTGCTCTTTGGGCCCCATCGCAGAACTCAATGCGGTAAACAACTTTTTCAGACTGCGTAATTAAATGCACATGCATTTTTTATTTTTATTTTTTGAAAAAACCTAACCTCTGTTGGCATCCACGTACTTTTCAATAGTATGTTTTTTTGTCGACATCTAAGTTTTCCAGTTATTCCACTAGAGTATAAACACTAGGTCTACTATCGTTTACATTTGTTGTTGCTATTATCAATCTCTTCATAGGCAATCAAGACCAGTTAGCTCCATAAATCTTTCTTGTTCTGAGCAACTCACGACTCATGGAATAGAACCATAGGCCTGAACCGATGACAATAAATTGAGGATAACTTCTTCTTTTCTGTTTACATTCGTGGAATAAAATGATGGTTATTATGCTTGAGTGAATATCATGGAATAGAACCATAGGCCTGAACCAATGACGATAAATTGAGGATATACTCATGTTTTCCGTTTTCAGTTTTTAATAATGATAACAATAGGCTATTTGCTTGGCTCTGATTCTCATTTTGCGTGCTATATAGGTCCCTTTTTTGTGATTTTCTACAAATTTAAATCAAAACTCTTCTTGCTAGATATGCTTACTCATCTGAGGATGCCAGTGAAGAGTTTGACAAGGATGATACATTGACACTCATAAAACCATCTCCATTGGTCTCAAAGGATGTGTGGAGTACTGAACAAAGGTCAGCCGGGAGTGGCAATGTTGTACCCCATACTGATCTTGAACAAGAAAAAACGGCATAAAGATAAAAATGTCGTTAAAATTACCAGACCCATGGCTCAGCTGGTTTTGGAATCCCTTTGTTATCGTTATCTTGTAGAAATTACTGAAGGTGGAAAGAGGAGAAAGAAAGCATCAAGATTGAGAATATGGTTGCCTTTTGGATGGGTTAGACTTCACTTTCGTTCTCTTCCATTGTTAGTTACTTTACCTGCCTGTCTGCTCCATATATTTATTGATTTAATTTTGTTACCTTTGTATCAATAGCCTTTACAATATGATTCAGTTTTGCTTTTGTTATTTGTTACGAGCCACTGTCATTTGGGACTTCACCTGCGATCGGTACCTAATTGGTATGACAACAAAAGTACTGGACCTTTTTTTACATCGAATAAGTACTACAGATACTGAAATTTTGTTCAATTTGGACATAAAACTCATAATTAAATAAAAAACAAAATTTATGCGTAGTTAATTAATAAGTGTATGAATACCGGCCAATGTAAATGTTGTAATATTTACCTAATGTACACAACTGGTCTTGGATACCAGATTCTCTCCATTCCCAAGCAATGCGGTAAAATTTTGGTTGTCCACCTCAACCAAATATGTTATATCAATAGAAATAATAAATTAAAACATACACACCAAGGTGTGGTAAAAATAGTCTCAAAGTTGCATTTCTTTAAGATCTTCCCATCATCAACTCGGGACTAGGATCAGTTTTGCTCATTACAAACCAATTCTTCAACTCCCTCTTTTGATCACCACTCCAAAAAAAAAGTCAAGGAAAAAAAAATAAAAATAAAACCAAAAAAGCAGAAGTCTGATTGTTGCCATCTCCCCCTTTGCTTCGTCCTTAAT